GACGATGGGCTTTTAAATTGAAATCTCCCTGCCACATGCTTGTATCGGAAAACGCTGGCTGCAGACTGTTGTGTTTCTTCTCAGTTCGCCAGCTTGCATGTTTCCATCTCTTCGCGGCTTCAGTAGCGCCTCAGCACAGTGTTATTTTCGCGGTGACGTTGTACGTGCAGCGGGAATCGCTCGGCAGCATTAGCAGAAGTCGCGCTCCTTTGTTCGCGTATACGATGTCTTTTAAAAAAGGAGCAACATAAAACGACTGCTGCATTTAAACCATTAAACCAAACCGTTATCGTTTCTTAAAGGCAAACCCTGTCTTATTAACATCATTGCACGTTTGAACAATTTGACGGCTTTGTAAGAGTCATTTGAGTGTATTTTTGGCGAGTGAATCCCCTGGATGGGTTGCACACAAGGACTGCGGACTTATGAAACCATTCGCGCTTAAAATACTGCTGCAAATGTAATTATAAACATGCAACCGAACAGCTCTGTGATGTAAAATAATTCGGTAACCAGTTATTTGAGTCTTCATGTGGGGTTTTGTCTGTGTTTTGCTTGTACTGCGTTATGAAATCATTTCAAGGTCAGCCGGCCTGGTCGGTACTCTTATTTGACCATTGATGAGTGCAGATCATGACAATTAAGATGTAAATGACCAACAAGCACATTATCTGATTTCTTAAGCATGATATTTGACTACTAAACCATAGCACATTTTTTCACCCTAGTTTTATATGCCCTACTTGTTATGGAGGCTGCATTGATTTAAATGGCCTGTTTGATGCAGCAACTGTACTAACGTTTGGACTTACTGATAGATTAAGGGTTGCCTTCTGAAACGTGTATCTTAGGGTGTTACTTTGAAACAAGGGACAACTGAAAAGCAGGACCTCAGGCACAGCTGTGAATGAATTGGTGTCATGTCCTGACACTAGCTGCTCCTCTGTGTTAGGTAATCAGTTGTCATGGAGGATTGTCCAAATGTAGGTGGTTTACTTGGCGTACACCAGCCCTCGTGTCCTCCGGGTCACCTTTACTCTGAATGGGCTGGTTCTAATTAACACCAGGACTCATGCATCACATCCGAATGACTGTATGTGATGATAGAACCAACCTTTTGCACTTGAGGCATACCACATTAAAACATTCGTATTGCCAAGTTTATTAGAAGGCGTGAGATTTGGCACGGAATGGTTGTGTTAGAATGCCTCGTTCCCTAAGGCATTTTGGGTGATTATGGGTCTTTCATTGAGTTTATAATATAGGTGAAGTGTCATCCACAGTTTATGCAATGCATAGCGGTCTTGTATCAAGAAGTTGTCTTGCATTTCAGGTTGTCTTTATTAACATCAGTTCAGGCACAATGCCAAGCACACTTGCATGTTCTCTCTCATTAAAGTCACAAGGTTGGATTTGACTTTTGCCAAGAGGTGTTATGGGTTGTATAAGGAGAGGCGAGTAGCCAACACTTGTCATTTATTAACCTTTGTGACATTTTCTGAAACTTAACTTGATCTAATTTATTTACACTCTAAAAAATGCTGGGTTATTTTTTTTAACCCAAATGCTGGGTTCAGATTGTTGGGTCATTTTATTGGGTTAATTTTAATATTGTTTTACCCAGGTGCTGGGTCATTTTTACAGTCAATACAAATGATGTACCCCCCCACATACCCAGCGCTGGGTCAGTGTAACCCAATGTTGGGTAGTCTGTGACAAACTGGTTAAAACTGGATACGTTTGTCAGTGGTCATTTTGTGTTCTGTCCTAACTCCTAAGAGAAACTTGACTGACGGGAAACTTCCTGAATGGAATTAAGGTATCTATTATTGTATTCCTATCAAATTATTTCTGTATAAATAGGAAAACTTCTGTAGTCTAACATATTTCCTTTTTTTTGTTTAAATATACATCCCAGCTAACATCTGCTTGGAACTCTAGCCTTCTACAAACGCAGCATTCACTGGATCTACACTCAAAGTGAACGTCGCACCGGTGCCACCACGGAAGTTTCACCTCCAGTCAAAATAATGCTCGACCAGGGCTGAAACACAACGCTACTTCACTGTTATATGTAACAAAGTTTCTGTGCGCTCCACTGACTACAACAGGAGTGCTATTGATCTAGTGCGCCATTTTTGCAGCTGTGGTCGCGCTATGTGTTTGACGGGTTGAAACTTAAATGTCGGACAGACAAGATGGCACGAGGTAAAGCTGTTTTTGATGTAACTTTTTAAACATGAATATAAGATAAGTAATGAATATGTCATTTAATAAACGGGAACAGCCTACTGATAGCAGTTTTCTTCCCACAGATTCCCATTGGCTGCTCCTGTCACATCCTAATATCTTTACTGAATGTTTTTGAAGATTTCATGATTGTAAAAGACTGACTTGACATTAAACAAAAAATATTCTATGTGAACTGTTCTTGTCCTATATAAAACAGATTTTAAATTAAATTTTTGTTATTTAAAATGAAAAACCTTTAATAGGTTGACTGACCCAGCACTGTCAAAAAACAACCCAGTAAATGGGTTAATGTATAAAACCCAACTAGCTGGGTCAAAATAACCCAGCATGTGTTCTGTCTAATATTTACCCAGTGCTGGGTTGCCAAATAACCCAGAATTGGTTGTTTTTAACCCAGCATTTTTTAGAGTGTATATTCATGCCTGAATTTATAATTTCTTCATATTTATATGTATGTGATATGCAGTCATATTATATATCATGTATTAAAAAAATATACAAATAAAAAACTATTTTGGGGGGTGAAATTATGTTTTATAAATGAAAGATTTTTCACTATCAAGAGAAGCATCTGAACATCTACTTTTGTCAACCCAGCTGGTTAGTCATTTCACATATTTATTTTAGTAACTCCATGGCATCTTTGTAAAATCGAATCTAATTTAAGCCACTTTCTCTCCGGGTCACTCTTGAGCAACTTTTGTAGGTCATCAGTTGGAAAGAGTATAAGAACATTTGCCCAATTGATTTGTGAGGACTCCATGTGAACATGCTCACCTCATGGATTTTTTTTAACTACTGACCTTCAAGTGTGGAGCACAAGTGTATGCTTATGTTTGCAAATGTCCTTGACAACTGAAAATCAGAGGATCATTTGGGAGGGATTGCTTGCGATATGATATGCTGACCACATGCTTTGTGTAGAGGCTTAGATACACGTGGGTTGACTTGGCCTTTTCCTTTAGTTATAAGGCTAAAAAGGAATAGTTTGCAAACAAATTCTATCATCTACTCATTGTGGATTTGGAATGATTTAAGTGTGTAAATGACACATTTTTAAATAAACTATTTCTTGGTCGCACCGCCAGTTTAGTTGGAGGTACAGAAATTAAATACTGTGGTTCTAGGAGCCATGGTGCAGAACATGTAAAAAGAATTAAATATTTTTTAACTAAATACTTACACTACTGCTAAAAGGTTTGAGGTCAGTATGCATGTTTATTATTTAGTTGAAAAAAATCAAAAGTGAGAGTAAAGACATTTATGATGTTGTGAAATACTTCCATTTCAAATAAATGCTGTGCTTTTGAACTTTCTGTTTATCAAAAATTCCTGAAAAAAAGTATAACATATCCACAAAAATATTAAGCAGCACAACTGCTTTCAACATTGATAATAGTAAGAAATGTTTCTTGGGCCCCAAATCAGCATATTAGAATGATTTCTGAAGGATCATGTGACACT